GCTACTACTGTTGTTGTTACTAGTGCTACTACTGTTGTTGTTACTAGTGCTGTTACTGTTGATACTAGTACTGCTACTGTTGTTACTAGCACTGCTACTGTTGTTACTAGTACTGCTATTGTTGTTCCTAGTACTGCTACTGTTGTTACTAGTACTGCTATTGTTGTTACTAGTACTGCTACTGTTGTTACTGCACTGCTTGTTTGTACGCTACTGTTGTTACTAGCACTGCTACTGTTGTTACTAGTACCGTTAGTTGTTACTAGCAGCGAACTGTTATTACAGTACTGCTACTGTTATTACCAGTACTGCTACTGTTGTTACTAGTATTACTTGCTACTACTGCTACTGTTGCTACTAGTACTGCTACTGTTGCTACTAGTACTGCTACTGTTGCTACTAGTACTGCTACTGTTGCTACTAGTACTGCTACTGTTGTTACTAGTACTGCTACTGTTTTTTTTTTTTAAAACGGGCTCCAGCCTCCCCAATAGCCACACCTTCGCACCATTTATTTACCTTAATATTAAATATCCTATACATAGCAACTATCCTATCTGTGTTAATTAGTTGAGCCGCAGATCCATGGCATTCGGGACTGTAGCCTCATGTCGATATCTGCAGCAGTTGACGGGTAGGGGAGCCTGTTCCCTGGAGGCAGGAGCCGACCGAAGGAGAGAGAAGGACAGTCGACATCTCATCCAGGCTGTGACATAATCTGGGCTGCTGCTTTGTTCGGAGATCAGCTCCGAGTCTGGCGTAAAACCTCTTGCACTTGGGCCCATCCCACCAGAGGTTGTGAACACTAGAGGAGGAAGCTGCCTTGATCAACATTTTGAATTTCTCGCCCTTCTTTGTCGTTCTCGTTCCTCCTATGCGCAGCATCGAGAGCTAGGTTACGGTGACAAACGGCCATGGGATCAAAAATCCTGATGTCGAAGAAAGCTCGCTGTCCTCGCGTCCAGAATCCTCGAGCACTGACGTCCACACGGGCTTCGTTAGATGTGTTTGAAATTGTTGCTACTAGTACTGCTATTGTTGTTACTAGTACTGCTACTGTTGCTACTAGTACTGCTACTGTTGCTACTAGTACTGCTACTGTTGTTACTAGTACTGCTACTGTTGCTACTAGTACTGCTATTATTGTTGTTACTAGTACTGCTACTGTTGCTACTAGTACTGCATGTTACTAGTACTGCTATTGTTGTTACTAGTACTACTGTTGCTACTAGTATGTACTGTTATTACAGTACTACTGTTGTACTATTGTTACTGTTACTAGTACTGCTACTGTTGCTACTAGTACTGCTACTGTTGTTACTAGTACTGCTACTGTTGCTACTAGTACTGCTACTGTTGTTACTAGTACTGCTACTGTTGCTACTAGTACTGCTAATGTTGCTACTAGTTTGTTGCTACTAGTACTGCTACTGTTGCTACTAGTACTGCTACTGTTGCTACTAGTACTGCTACTGTTGCTACTAGTACGCTGTTGTACAGTATTACTTTCTTGTACAGTGCACTGTTGCTACTAATTTGATAGTACTGCTACTGTTGCTACTAGTACTGCTATTATTGCTACTAGTAATTGCACTGTTGCTACTAGTACTGCTACTGTTGCTACTAGTACTGCTTACTGTTGTTACTAGTACTGCTACTGTTGCTACTAGTACTGCTACTGTTGCTACTAGTACTGCTATTGTTGCTACTAGTACTGCTACTGTTTGCTACTTGTACTAGTGCTACTGTTGCTACTAGTACTGCATGTTGCATTAGTACTGCTACTGTTGCTACTAGTACTGCTATTGTTATATTTACTATTGCTACTGTTGCTACTATATGCTATTACTAGTACTGCTACTGTTGCTACTAGTACTGCTTGTAATATGCTTAAATATCACATTTTAAAGATCCCTGAACTCATCACGAGATCCCAGTGTGTGTGTGTGTGTGTGTGTGTGTGTGTGTGTGTGTGTGTGTGTGTGTGTGTGTGTGGTGTGTGTGTGTGTGTGTGTGTGTGTGTGTGTGTGGTGTGTGTGTGTGTGTGCGTGTGTGTGTGTTACGCTAAATAGGATTAATCACCAATTAAGCTTTAAAAAGTTACTGACGGTTCAACCAAATAATCCTTTCGCTTCATTGCTACAAATTAATGGAAATGAGTTCTTATGTGGTAAAATTTGCTGCGTTTCATTTAAGACAGTGTTTATCATCATGAGATAACGGCATTTGGTCAGGATAGGTGAAGTTAGGTTAGTTCAGGTCAGGTTACATTAGATAAGGATAGGTTAGGTGTTCTATGATGCTCTTTATCTATATGTGCTACCATCATTTACAGTCAGTTAAAAAGAATACTTAGGAATTATCACTATATAATTTATACTTATAAACAAATTGATAAAGTCCGTTCCACTTAATAATCATACGCCCTAACAGCCAGGAGGTTTACTATGCTCCTTGCTGTAACAGCCAGGAGGTCGTACTATGCCTTGCTGTAACAGCCAGGAGGTCGTACTATGCTCCTTGCTGTAGCAGCCAGGAGGTCACTATGCTCTTGCTGTAACAGCCAGGAGATGGGTACTATGCTCCTTGCTGTAGCAGCCAGGAGGTCGTACTATGCTCCTTGCTGTAACAGCCAGGAGGTCAGAGGTTCTTTGCTGTAACAGCCAGGAGGTCGTAGCATGCTCCTTGCTGTAACAGCCAGGAGGTCGTTATGCTCCTTGCTAACAGCCAGAGGTGTGCTATGCTCCTTGCTGTAACAGCCAGAGGTCGTAGATGCTCCTTGCTGTAACAGCCAGGAGGTCTGCTATGCTCCTTGCTGTAACAGCCAGGAGGTCGTGCTATGCTCCTTGCTGTCAACAATAATAAAGAAAATGTCATAAGAAAAAACATTGATGATTAATCTTTGTTTACATACAGTAACACCAAGTGAAATAATGTCATGGTATATACGTCAGTGAGCCACATTAGTGCGTGGTATATACGTCAGTGAGCCACATTAGTGCTTTTATGGTATATACGTCAGTGAGCCACATTAGTGCTTGTCATGGTATATACGTCAGTGAGCCACATTAGTGCTTGTCATGGTATATACGTCAGTGAGCCACATTAGTGCTTGTCATGGTATATACGTCAGTGAGCCACATTACATGCTTGTCATGGTATACGTCAGTGAGCCACATTAGTGCTTGGCTGGGTATATATACGTCAGTGAGCCATTAGTGCTTGTCGGGTATATACGTCAGTGAGCCATTAGTGCTTGTCATGGTATATACGTCAGTGAGCCATATTACGTTTTGTCATGGTATATACGTCAGTGAGTCACATTAGTGCTTGTCATGGTATATACGTCAGTGAGCCACATTACTGCTTGTCATGGTATATACGTCAGTGAGCCACATTACTGCTTGTCATGGTATATACGTCAGTGAGCCACATTACTGCTTGTCATGGTATATACGTCAGTGAGCCACATTAGTGCTTGTCATGGTATATACGTCAGTGAGTCACATTGTGCTTGTCATGGTATATACGTCAGTGAGCCACATTACTGCTTGTCATGGTATATACGTCAGTGAGCCACATTACTGCTTGTCATGGTATATACGTCAGTGAGCCACATTAGTGCTTGTCATGGTATATACGTCAGTGAGCCACATTAGTGCTTGTCATGGTATATACGTCAGTGAGCCACATTAGTGCTTGTCATGGTATATACGTCAGTGAGCCACATTAGTGCTTGTCATGGTATATACGTCAGTGAGCCACAGTGCTTGTCATGGTATACGCCACATTAGTGCTTGTCATGGTATATACGTCAGTGAGCCACATTAGTGCTTGTCATGGTATATACGTCAGTGAGCCACATTAGCTTGTCATGGTATATACGTCAGTGAGCCACATTATTGTCATATATACGTCAGTGAGCCACATTACTGCTTGTCATGGTATATACGTCAGTGAGCCACATTAGTGCTTGTCATGAGTCACATTATATACGTCAGTGAGCCACATTACTGCTTGTCATGGTATATACGTCAGTGAGCCACATTAGTGCTTGTCATGGTATATACGTCAGTGAGCCACATTAGTGCTTGTCATGGTATATACGTCAGTGAGCCACATTAGTGCTTGTCATGGTATATACGTCAGTGAGCCACATTAGTGCTTGTCATGGTATATACGTCAGTGAGCCACATTAGTGCTTGTCATGGTATATACGTCAGTGAGCCACATTACTGCTTGTCATGGTATATACGTCAGTGAGCCACATTACTGCTTGTCATGGTATATACGTCAGTGAGTCACATTAGTGCTTGTCATGGTATATACGTCAGTGAGCCACATTACTGCTTGTCATGGTATATACGTCAGTGAGCCACATTACTGCTTGTCATGGTATATACGTCAGTGAGTCACATTAGTGCTTGTCATGGTATATACGTCAGTGAGCCACATTACTGCTTGTCATGGTATATACGTCAGTGAGTGCTTGTCATGGTATATACGTCAGTCAGTGGTCACATACTGCTTGTGGTATATGGTAGTATTACGTCAGTGAGCCACATTACATGTCATGGTATATACGTCAGTGAGTCACATTAGTGCTTGTCATGGTATATACGTCAGTGAGCCACATATAGTGCTTGTCATGGTATATACGTCAGTGAGCCACATTACTGCTTGTCATGGTATATACGTCAGTGAGCCACATTAGTGCTTGTCATGGTATATACGTCAGTGAGCCACATTACTGCTTGTCATGGTATATACGTCAGTGAGCCACATTAGTGCTTGTCATGGTATATACGTCAGTGAGCCACATTAGTGCTTGTCATGGTATATACGTCAGTGAGTCACATTACTGCTTGTCATGGTATATACGTCAGTGAGTCACATTACTGCTTGTCATGGTATATACGTCAGTGAGTCACATTTACCGTAGTGTTGCCTTAAGAGTGGCAACATATCGTGGACGTAGGCGGAGGGACAAGAGCACTCACCTTCTGGTTGTGATAGTAGGGATCGATGTCCTCAAGGGGTGTGCCCACGAGGTCCTCAGGGAACATCTGCTGGAGGCGGTTGGAGAGCGGCATGCCCTGCTCCATGTTAGGGTCGGCCTGGGGTCCCTCATCTTCATCTTCTTCATTGTAGACAACCTGGGTGTGGTCCCGGGTGGGAGGATTAGTATCGAGGTGGTGGTGCAAATCCTTATCGGTACTACCCATCATTCTCTCTACCATTATTACTCTCCCCTGCTCTTGTTAATACTCAGTACTGCACTCTTACTATATACACACCCTTAAGCTAACACTGCTTTCCCTCTTATTCCTCACTCTACTTTGGTTCAAGTCTCTACCATAAAATTACCCATCTGCTTATTACTACGATACCGCTTGTTATTCCATTCCAGTTTTACTCATTATGACAATCTATCAACTCTAAAATATGAAAACGAGATAAGTCTTACACATCAACTTTTGTAACACTCCACTTGTTGACTTGTTAAATGTTCATATCAATTGGTCATATTCAAAGCAATAAAAAAATGTTAGATTATGATATATTTTTCCTATCTCCTTGTGGAGGTGGCGGGGCACTGTATGTAATCTGTTTCAAGACCCTCAACAGTTCAATTAAAAGAGAAAATTATGTGTCATCTAGCAGTCGTCAGGAATTACTCTGTTCTGATACAACTAACAAATAATGATCTTAAAGAACACTGAGCTTTTCTCTTGTGGCCGTAAATGCAGCAGAAGAACGCAAGTTAAGGTAAGGTTTCCCTAATGTACTAACTCCAATTAACAAATAATCTCTATAAAAGAACCACTTTAAAAAGGTGTCATAAATTTGTTTTATTTAGATAATTACTAGTGCTGTATACTGAGACCGTGATTGTTGTGTTCGTTTGTGAGTAACTTGATTTCCAACCCTTGAAGTCTCTTAGCCAGGGAGGTGTATCGCTCCCAGTCATTAACCTGTCTTACCTTTTAACAGAGAAAAGGTTGTGAAGGTATTTTTTGTCGTCTCAGTCAAAGTGGACGAGCTTATCGCACCGGGAAATATAAATCCGTGGTGGTGGGGCTCACCCCGCGAAGGAAATGTAATTTTCTCGCCAGGCCACAACTTTCTCTGACCGTCTCCACAGTTCTCTCTCTATCTTCCTGCCCTCCCTGTTATATTGTCGACGTATTGTTCCTCGTCTGTCATATTCACTCTTTCTTTCTCTGAATGTTTATTCTTGATCTCCTTCTTCTGTTGACTATAATTTGTAGCTTACAGTGGTTCCTTACTATACAACTATTTACCTCACTTCTCAAGCACCTGACTACTACACTACTAGATGTCTTTCTCCCGTCTTTCACTACCTTACTGTAATGTCCTTCCCCCTTACTTCTTATATAACCTTCACACCATCTCGTATTGTTTAGTTCTAACTGTAACTCTCTCATCATCCAGGAATTCCTCAAACGAAATATCAATTCAACTTTGCGGTTACTATGTTGGTTGTGCTTAGATACAGTGCCCTCCACTTCCGCCGGATATTTGGATAGTAATTACCTTCAAAATGTTTTTATCATTCTCTCCTTCATACATGATTCACTACAAGTCTTCTTAAGGCAGTAAGGGCGGAAACCCTCCCTCCTGACCCTGGACCTCTGTCATACATCTGATTATGTTGTTTACTTCCTTTAAAATATCACAGGTTCAATCCAACTAAACCCTTCCCTCAACTCTGCTCGACACTGGGTGGATGTCTCACACATCATGGTATCGTAGGTATGTATATAAGCGGCGCAGACTCCCTATACTGTACACGCCCTCCTCCTCCCACACTGTAGTAATCTAAGTTAACATTCCTTTCTTAGGTTCAAGCCGAAACTAAACTCATTTTGGGACATGTTAATTCTAAACTTGGTGTTAAGCATCACATTTACTCTACAGGAAAACTTACAGGATAATACATTCATATTATGTCAGTCAAGTTCTCATAATAATCATTTAAAGACTAGAACAATTACGGTCTACAAAATGGCGGCCAAGTCATATACACAAATATATAAAAATATCTAGTACTAATAAGTTATATATATATATATATATATATATATATATATATAATATATATATATATATATATATATATATATATATATATATATATATATATATATATATATATATATATATATATACATATACTGTAAGTGTACAGGAGCCACTAGTGGCTTGGCTAGGCATCCACAACTATCTCTCAACCTATCTAATCGGAATTAAATCGACCTCAATACATGATCCGGGTTATCAAATAAATTATACTACTAACCCGGGACTAATGATAAATTTTCTCCCAAATGCTGGACTAATGATCAATCTCACATGACTGCTAGACACACTATATACAGGTATACCTAATAGTAACATAACCGTCTCTAATAGTTTTTACATGCTAATTAATCAGAAGTGCTGATGATTACAGAACTCAGTAGATCGTAGAGCCTAGGAGAAGTACTAAGATAGTAATACTGTTATTATATAAAGTTGCCCGGGGAACAGGAGGGATCCACTACCGTCTGCAGAAGTAGCAGCGGCAGCAACCCCTCCCACCCCCCCTGGAGGAGTGCGGCGGTTGAAGCCATCTGTTAAAAGTATGAATTGGTGTCATTTCTACATACTACCGTCGGCAGCACAGCAAATTGGTGATTGTGATGGCTTAAGCGGCAAGGCTCACCGTAAGTCAATCTATGAGTCTATCATGTCTAGTTGGTGCATCACCGGCAGGTGGTTGCCGGGCGGGAGGAAGGCATCTCCCTCGCCCAAGCACTCGGTGGTGTAATAGTAATGGGATGAGGTGAATGATGGTTGTTGACGAACACATGCTGGATGGTTCCCTGTGTGCGTCCACGTGACCATTAGGTACTCTTCACACCGTTGTCTCTCTCATATTTACACAAACAACAATATCATCCTTGTGGAAGACTAGTCATTGTAGAGCGAAATATTTAGTAGAAGATGGTACCAGTGGCCAACTTGAACTTGAGTAGCACAGACTAACCTTCTCCAATGATGGTCAATACGCTGTAGAGTACAGTGTATACCTCAAATACCACACCAACAGGTATCTAATTAACCTTAACGTAGGATAAAACAAATCATGGAGGGTCAAGGTGAGTTTGTGTTTTCTCGTGCTTTCATTTTTTTTCATGCTTATGTGCCTTACTGACGGTGGGTGGATGAGTGAGAAATTTATACTTCCGCTTTAGAGATAAGGTCGCCGTCACCAGCCTGTGATGAGAACAAGACTGTGGTGACGCCCCCCCACACCCCATGTGGAGACTTAATATTAACGACGTGAGGCTAGAGCGTCGACTCCACTTGCACCAGCTGTGCCCCGGGCTCCAGTAACAGATGTGCTCCAAGCTCCTGCATCAACTATGCCCCAGGTTCCTACACCGGCTGGATCCGGACTCCTACACCAGCTGTGCCTTGAGCTGCTTCAACAGCTGTGTTACGAGTTGTTCGCCCCCACCTTACCCTTGTGGCGTCTGTCCTCCCTTAGTGCTAACATCCACAATTCTGGCTTCCTTTTAAGTACGAGTAATTTGATTGCCATTAGAAGTATTGCCCAGGCTTTACTAGAACAACACGGCTCCCGCTGCAGCCTTGAAAACAGATATTTAAGATCTTTCACAAAACATAACCCTAAAGAAGTGGATTTTTTTCTTCAACTGCGGTGACAGTTTACCGTTGAAACTATTCTGAAAAGTAAAAGAACCAAAACCGAGGCTCATGATTGAAACTTCTGGCCAGATTGAACGGCCATTACTTCCCGTTGTACATCCCACGAAATGATGTTATGGATATTAGATGACTAGTCAGTAAACGGTAATAGGCATTAGTTGGTAAGTCAGAATATTGTGTGGGTCTAGCTACTGGTGGTGGTGTATGGGACACACTAACTGAAATGGCTGTTTGATAAGAAGCACGTGACTGACTTAGTGACCGGCTGGATAAAGACTTGACAAGATAAATGACAAACAGGAGTGACTGGCTAAGTGGACGAGTGACTGGCTGGCTTAGTGATTGGAAGCATGATTTCTGCCTGTTTGATGACTGTCACCGATGGCTGCCTCACATAGTTAACTAGCCATCCAGACCAACACTCACCTAACCAACCAACCAATTGGGTGCTTGCTTGGCTACCCACTTGGCGAACTAGTTGTCTTGGGGGTTTTTGATTGGTTGTTTGTCTAAAGGTAGTTGATTGGTTGATTGTCTCGAGGGGAAAATGAATTGATTGATTGTCTAGAGGTATTTGATTGGTTGTTTGTCTAGGGAGTATTTGATTGGTTACCGTCGGGGGTAATTGATTGGATGAATGAGCACAGACTGGTTGATTGTTTTTTCTGGTTGACGACTTGGTTGATTGAGTAGATGTGTAGTCTACCAAGATTGTTAGTTGATTGGGTAACTACCAGGTTGGTTGGTTGGTTGGTTGGTTGGTTAATAAATAACTGCCAAGTTGGGTCACTCTGGGTTGCCTGGTTGAGTGATTGCCTGGCCATTGGTTGATTGGGTGATTACCTAGCTAGCTTTTTGATTGGCAGCCTGGCTCGTTGGCTGCCTGGCTGGCTGGGTGACTGGCTGGCTGGGTGACTGCCTGGCTCGGTGGGAACTCACTATTGATTCCTACAACCAGCTCTGTGAGACTCCCCAACCTACATCCCCCACCGAGTCTCTGCGTCCCAGATCTTCGCCGTTTTGGTACCACCTTATCCATCCTAGTTCATCATTTGTTCAGTCTATTCATCCTTGTTCATTATTTGTTCAGTCTATCCATCCTTGTTCATCATTTGTTCAGTCTATCCATCCTAGTTCATCATTTGTTCAGTCTATCCATCCTTGTTCATCCTTTGTTCAGTTTAGCTATCTTAGTTCATCATTTGTTCAGTTTATCCATCCTAGCTCATCATTTGTTCAGTCTATCCATCCTAGTTCATCATTTGTTCAGCCTATCCAACCTAGCTCATCATTTGTTCAGTCTATCCATACTAGCTCATCATTTGTTCAGTCTATCCATCCTAGTTCATCATTTGTTCAGTATATCCATCCTAGTTCATCATTTGTTCAGCCTATCCAGCCTAGTTCATCATTTGTT